ATTTTCGAGATAAAAAAAAAAAAAAAAAAAAAAAAGAAAAAGGAAAAAGGAAATATTGCCAACCGTTAAGGAACCCTTCGATCTTCGATTCGAGACACGAAATAGACCGGAGGAGATGGTGGTCCAACGGGGACCGGAAGAGGGTGTTCCCTTTGAAGCGATCCCCCGTCAGGATTTGCTCGAGAGCGGGCAATGAGCGAAGAGAAAAGGAGAAAAAGGGAGGAAAAGGTGGAAGAAGGGAACCGAATCTCTATTTTCGCAGGCTCGCGCGGCCGCCTTTGAATAGACGCGATAAGGATCTTATAACCGTGCAGGGGGAGAAGAGGCCTGGATGGATGGCGGGGGTGTTGTGAAATATAAAGTAAACTACCTGACATTGTCGCGATACGAAGAGGCGCATCGCCGCTTGAATATTGATGCACTGGCTTCCGAAGGGAAGATGAAAGGGGAGGCACTGCGCCTTCGCTTCGGCTTTTTAATAATGAATTCGGCCCTTCTGCCTCGCGGATTTTCTCCCGCCCGTTCCAACGCCCTCCCCCCCCCCCCCCCGCCTCCCTTATTTCCTTTGAACGCGCGCGGCGGCGAAGAAAGGATTGGTTTATACTCTCGCGTTCGCGGTCGAACCGATATATTTCCAGGGAACGACTTTTTATATCGAGGTGGAAAGAATTTTGAAAATTTTCTCGAAAGTCGAATTGTGAAGGAAGAGAGATTTATTTAGAGAGAGAGAGAGAGAGAGAAGAAAAAAAAAGAAGAGCAGAGAGACGCCTAATGCTTTCCTAAAAACGACGTAATCGCGTCAAAGGCTTAAAAGACTGACCCTAGAATCGCACACTTCAACCCTAGAACTGACTGATGGGCTTCGCTGTTCCACTAACGTGATTTCATGTCGTCGACCTGACAACTGACGGTCTTCCAGACTGATGACTAGCTTTTGCTAATGATTTAACGGGGACGAGCATTTTTCGTTAATACTTGGTGAATATATTACGATTGCAAGATTGCAGATTCGATAATTCGATAGGAATACTCGATATTTGATTAATAAGTAACGATATTTTGCCGCCAAAATAGTATTAGCTGCGATTTTGGGTCATTTCGTACCTCGAGCGACATCTGTCGATGAACGCTGCAACCTTTTTGGTAAGAAAACGGATGGTAAGAGAACAACAAGTTTCTCGGTTCTAATCTCGACTAATTTCACTTCGCACCCATATTCACCCGTAATATCATTTCACGTTCACTCACAAACTTCCATAATACGTGTACCGAATCGAAAAAATTTGAAACATCAATCAAATCAATTTCCTATTCGAAACAATTTCGTTAAAAATCCGATTCTCGCAATTTTTCGAATAAAATTCATAAATTTATTCATCTCGAATGACATTCCTTTTTAAAATCGATATTTCTTTTCGCTTGAGAAAAAAAAGAAAATGTAAAGTTTAACGAAAAACAGGTACGACGTATCTGTGACTAATTTACGTATCGAATACTCGAAGGGTGCCGGAAGTGGCAAGATTGCGACATCGACTTGTTCGACCGAAAGATATTTCCCGCGGTCTATTGCACGCTCTGTTAGTCATGTAGGTTCGTTCGTTGCGACTAATTTCGTTATGTAATAACGAGTCTACGTGTTCGAAACGATAATTCTTCGCGAGGGTGTCTCCCACCGATAAAATTGAAAGTGGTCGAGCCAACAACTTCTTCCCTGATCGATTAATCACGCGATATGTAATATTTTTGCAAAAGGAAAGTTCGATCGTTCGTTTTTACGGAAAATCGGCCGATACGATAATACACTACGATACAATATAAATCAATTATCGCACGAATAAATATATATATATATATATATCCGTACTCGTTCCTTACGCAATATTACGTATTCTATTTTTCCTTTTTATTTCCACGCGATTATTTCTTTCTTATGAAGGAAGGGGAAAAACAGTAAAATCATCGCAAAAACTAGAATACTGTGGCGGAATAAGCAATGAGTGATACCATCGTGCTACGTCGATACTACGTTGAAACAGGAACGAAAGAGCAGACTTTATGCCCCCTTAGTTTCGCGAGCCAGACGGAACGAGTCTACGATCTAAACTCTAAACGTAATTTCGAGCGGTAAACCGCGGCGTAATGTTCGCCGAACGAACGGCGAATAATCCGATCAGGGAAGTTTTAGCCTGGTTTACTTATTCGCCGATAAATTCGTTGGAACGAAGAAACGCGAAGAAGGCGAAATGCGATAATCGATCGGCCGGTCGTTTGCCCGGCCAACTGGAAGACGGCGATACCGATTGTCGAACGAAGAGTAAAAGTAGCTCCTCGGTGACATAACACGGGGAATGACACGGAGGAAAGTCTAGGCCGTCCTCCGTTTCGTCTGTTTGAATGGCTGTTGCGCGGAATGATGTGGGTTTACAGTCGAGACACGAAGCGACCTGTGATTGCCAATTGTTCTCGCTTTCCCTCGTCGCTCTTCTCTTATTAACCGCCCCTTTTCTCCTCCGTGCACCTGTAGCCTTTTGCTAACGTAATTACTTCGAGTTACCACTACTTTCGCGTAATTGTATCGATCCTGCTTCCGGTTTCTTCTGTGTAGAAATATATACTTTCGTTCGAATGTATACTGCGATTGCCTCCGCGTCGATCATCACGTGTATACGCGCTTACGATTGTGTGATGTAAGAATGGAGAGGAAATGGGGGAGTTACGGGATCGTTGGAAAATTCGTCACGCGAGAATTGGCCGATAGAAATGAAAAAGGAAAAAAGAAAAAGATGGAAGAGTCGATATTTCTTCTTGCTTTCACTTAATACACTTAATAACCAACGAAATTTGAAACGAATCGTAACCGATTCCGTTAGATAAAATATCCGTGAACCGTGAATCTGCTACCTCGAAATCTAAAATTATTTATTACACCTCTCCCAATATTTTCAAGGGAGTCAAAATTGCTATCCCTTCCCTTGTATCTCGAACGACGCGAATCCGACGTCTGATCGATAAGTAGAAACGAGCGACGTTGGTCAGACAGACGGGATCGAATCGATCTCGAGAAAGGAAGAGAGAAATTCGTAATTAAGATCGCGACGCGTCTAAGCAAGCGTGACGAAGCGTTGGCAAATCTTAATGATCTAATGGACGCTTCGTTAATCATTCACGAGGGAAAAAGAGGGAGAAAGGGGGAGATTAACCGCGCTGAGTCAGCCATTAGCTTCCTGGGAGGCGTGCGGAACGTCCTCGATTCCGTTCCCCGCGGGATGGAACGACGCATTAACGTTTCTCCGCACGCTTTCGAATATCCCTAAGCTGAGTCTAATTCTTGATTCGTTGCTCGACACTGCTCGTCGAGAATCAATCTCGTTTTACGATTCCGTCGAGCGATGATCGCTGTGTCTCCCGACCATTTCCACCCATTGAATCAACCGTGAGGGAACGTTCAAATTTCGCGCCTTGCAATTTTTCTTCACAAGCTTTACGTAACAAGCTTCTCGCTATCTCGATTTCTCGACATCTTCCGTATCATCTCGTGTAAAGACGGTAATTATATCGTTTATTAGTATATCGTTTTTACCTTATTCCTTTTTTTTCTTTTTTTTTTTTTTTTTTTTTTTGTAACTTCGTTAACCCATCAACTTTCATCGACTCCACTCGACCCACGAGTGGCAGGCGCGCAGAGATCGCGCGAGATTCCGTGGATTAATTTGCCCCACATGTTTCCATCCATCGTTGCGTCGAGTTACTGTTGCACGTAATTACGCTAACGAGATCGTCTTTGCGAATGGAACTCGATCATCAAAGGGTAATTACTCGCGAGCGGAGGAGGGGGGTTCAACGCGCCTCGTTATCGTTAGACGTAGAGGTTTCACTTCCAATCCGGAGGGAGGGAGTTAGAGATCGGTGAAATTTCGCAACTATCGATCGTTCCCCTCCTCTCTCCTCTAACAGTGGCTCGTAATAATTTCTTTTCCTCTGATTTGCATACGTATATAATCGGGGACAGCACGGTTCACAATTTTATCGCGTGGCCTGTCAAACAGGTTTTCATAAAATCAAATTGTCATCGTTGCTTATCTATTTTTTTCCTTTTAAACCAACTGTCATTTTCCATTCTCTACTCGGATATATTTTACAAATATATCGACGAATGCTATCGTCGATTAAAAAGAAAGAAAAAAATATTGAACGCAAATACAAATAACGCGTCACCTTGCATCTGAACAATCCCCGCAACAAATTCTCATTTTTATATCCCATTTTATATCCCAAGGTGTGTTCTCGATTCGACTAAAAAAAAAAAGTAAATTTTATTACATCATGAATATTTACAAGCTGTAGGTATAGGTATTTGGTGGCGATCAACCGTGACTCGAACCGGATCGTTCAGTGATCGATGAACGGAGATGCAGGTCGATCTCCGCCAATTTTCGTTCCGCCCATGCGCCGTCGCCGCGTGCGTTTCGATTTCAAGTGCAGCCTCCGACTGGTCGTCAGGAGTCGGCCGCCGATCGATCGTGACGTAACGCGAACGAGGCAGGCATGCGTGCAGCAGCGCGCACGCTTGAGAAATCACGTCGAATCGTGGAAACACCTCTCGATCGTGTATCAAGATTGATAGGATAGGTTGGAGGGAAGTTAGCTAGGGTTAGTTGTATCTACAACTGGTTAATTTCACGCGTCTTTCAAGTGGGCCACGATCGAACGCGGCTGCGATGCTCTCTCTAATGCGATTTCTAATCCGACGTTTCGTTTATGCGCGGAAAATTGTGAGGATAATTTACAATCTGATCTGGTGGATTGTAAATGTTGAAGCGTAAAATACGTTTCTTAATAGACCTTTCGACCGATGGTTTTAAGTTAAACGTAGTTTTAGTCAAATCTATCTTATTAGATGTGTTTCTTCTTCTTTTTTTTTTTTTTTTTTATTTAAGTGTAACGATGGTTGTTGATCGAGAAGTTGTCCATCGAGGTGAGGCGGTATATCGAGACACTAGTCGTAGAAAACATTAACAATGTATTAACTCGATACAATGATTCTTTACACAAATATAAGGATGCTCCTGGTGGTGTTGTATCCAGAGACACTGTGGAGATACGTATAATACAAGGACGGATGCAGAGTTCGTGGTTCCTAGATAGTTCCTCCCCTTGAGTTTCCCATATTCTCGAGAACTCTCTCACCGTACAGTTTCCCCATCGATGACGCGGCACTCGCAACCTTCTCAATATCCCGTTAATCCTTCGTTCACGGTTAATAGTAAAAGAACCTATAGAAAGCTGGAACAAAACGTAAGGAAACATTTATGATCGGTCAAATCGTTCGAAATTCTCCCCCCAAATTTAATTCAACTCGTCGAAAAACGCATCCTCTCGAAAATAAAATTCCCCCAAATTTCTTGCGGCGTTAAATTTCACCCTCAACGCGTTCGCGCGAAAGCAAACGACCCTCGACCCTGTCAAACTTTCGCGGACACAAGGAAACAGGATCTCGAAACGTTCCAAAGTTCCTTCTCCATCCTTTCCCCTCATCGTGGTCGAGCATCGCCCCTTCGATCCTTCTTCGTCGGAGAGGAGACGCGAGAGGCACGGTTCCGCCCGAGATCACGCGCGATAATTCGCCAAGAATCGCGCGGCAAAGCTCCTCGAGTAATCGCCGGGACACCTGACCGTCGGTAATGAGAAGTCAGGCACGGGACCGCTTCAAAGCTCGCTAATTACAGGACCCTCGTCACCCGGCCACCCTTCCACCTCATCTCTCCACCACGTCCGATATCCTCTCTCCCTTTGACTGTGTTAAGTGCTCGCTTTTCTGCCCGTTGCCTCCGACACCGGCCGACCACGGCGCTGACAATAAAGTTAACCAACGGGGAGAAGGCAATGGGATCCATTAGGCAGGATCCAAGGGACGTGGCTGTGCGTAAATTCAACCCTTCCCCTAGCGACAGAATTGGAGAGAGCGTATCGAGGAGGAGAAGGTTTTTGAACCATGTTTACTCTTTTATTTTTTCCCCGATTTCTATCGATTTTCCCGTTCCCGATTTTACCGACCGAAAATAACATTGATATTATTGATTATATTATGTCGAATTGAGAATTTGTCTGAAATGGATCTTAACCATATATCGAGGACGCAACAACGAATAGATAGAAGAATATACAAGCGAAGGTGAAATCGGAGAAGTGCGTGGTTCAAGTTTAACGATCGCTCTACTACTAGTTAGCAACACGTGCGGCTAAGTGTCTTATTTCCTTTCCCTTCCCCGGACCAACACCATCAATTGTCGATCATAGACATTCAGAGACGATCACTGCCTTTCACTGGCACCCGCTCGTTCGCGGGTAGAACTGTATCATTAACACCTAAATCGTTCCTCCACGGAATCCACGCTATCGAGGAGGATTTGTCCCCGATTTCTACCCCGTAATTACGCCCCTTTCCTCGCAATTATTCCGCAAGCGGGGAGGAGGGAGAGGCAGGCAGCTCGATAACGCGCAGACAACGTCGAAACGGGCCATCCTCGCATTCGTTGAACGAGCGTCGTTGGCATCGCAAGAAAAACGGGTCTGATCCTCGCCTCCTGCGTTTCTCGCGGAGTTATCCGGCCGCGAGTTAATCTCCGCGAGGAACTTTTTAACGCGTTGCCCTTAGACGCGGAAGAACGTTAATCACCGCCAGTTTCGCAGATTTATCCGCTCCATCGCGATCGTTTACAGGCATTAATGAACAAAAGATATACCGTGGCCATAACCGACGCTAGACGCTAGTCCGTTGCGCTGAAGATTTATTTCTCCATCGAGTTCGAACGTTCTATCCGCTTATCTTGAGCCATTGTGAACAATGTTCCGTTCTATTGTCTGGATAGATTGGAAGGCACGGAACAATCCGATTGAATATTATTTTATGGAATATTATTTCTCTGAATCTTCTATGATTCTTGGAAACCGGTTGTTACAAAGGCATATTTTTTTTTCTTTTTCTTTTTTTTTCAGTAAACTTTCATCGATCCTTTTGTCGATCCTTTTGTCGAGGTACACGCGCGCGAATATGCTCGTTTTATATACGTGGAGCGAAACGGTTTTATCTTTTTATTATAATCGTTTCGTAATAAAAAATCGATATTAAAATCAACGACTAGAAGCTCTGGTACAAGTGCTAACCAGGATTACTCTAAATTTTTAATGCCACAGAGATTTGAGAAAAGATAGTAGAAAAAGTTTTTAGGGAAAAAGTTTTTTCCCTCTTTCCAATATTATATACTCTCAAATGTGACGTTAGACTTTAAAAATTTAGAGTCTTGTCTGACAGTTCTGACGACGATTGTAATCGATATTCTTGTCCAGAGGCCATGACATGGATGCCGATTAAAGGTTAGGAACGAAAGAATTAAAAAAAAAAGAAGCAAGTATTTGCAATAATAATTAAATTCCAGGCAGAGGAAAGGTGTGGAAGTTCCTCGAGCGACCTCATTTAACTATTCGATTAAGTGTTATTACTCATAATGACAGCGTATGCAACGACAGCGTATGGAACTCTTTGCGCACGGATCGAACTTTCGTCTCAATTGGGCCGCGTGTTTGTGAAATTACGCCCGTTAAAAATTCACGATCGTTCGAATAACGGCTCGTTGCACGAAATCATATTACGAGGGTCTCGTTAAGAGAACGATACGCGGCAACGAATTACGAGTCAGTTTTATTTTTATTTGCAACGGTGATCCGCGATAAAGAAGTAGCGACGAGTCCCTAACGATGCCTAATTGCGCTTGTTAACGATTATAAATCTCGTAATTGCCTTCGTTACGCGATTGGCTAGTAATGTTTTCAGGGTTACGCTCGACTATTGGAAAATGTAAATTGAATTTCGTGGAACGAAATTATTCCTCCTCTTGATTACATTCAAAACTTTTGATTTTCTTTTTTTTTTCTAGATCATTTTTTATTATTATTTCTATCGTATCTAGAGAAACAACATCATCTTCGAAATTTATCTTGAATCATTCGATCTTACTCTGAAGGATTTTCTTAATTTTCTTTTTTTTTTTTTTCGTCAAGATCCATCTTCAAAATACACGAATGACTGTCAATTTTACTACATAAAGAGGAAATCATTATTTTCTCGACGTGTAACGAAATATTATAATATTTCCCCTCGATTAGAAAATATGATACGTTAAATAGCCTCACGGTTCCACAAAGAAGAACTTTTTATCTTAAAGAGAAAAAAAAAGAAAAAGAAAAAGCCTAAAACCACGAACTTGACCATGAACGGATCATTGATCCCAGCAGCAGAGATACATCAGATTTTCGTGTCGCCAAAAACTACGATATTGTCCAACTGACCTCATAACACCTGTTACGCTTCGCGAAGTAGCTCAGCCGAGGTTACGTGTAAACGAGTTTAAGTCACGAGGCCAACGAAATCACTTTCACTGACCCCCGTCTCTCTAAGTGGATCCCAAGGTTGCCTCTTCTTCGGGGAAACCGGTATTCCTCTTCCTCTCTCTTTTCCTCTTCCTCTCTATCGAACGACGAGGAATGCCGCCATTGAATTCGAATAATGAAAGACGAGGGAGAATTTTTATTCCTAACTTTTGCTGCGAGAATCAGGCAGAGAGGAAGAGAAAGCTCTCGATGCCTCCATTTACACGTGGATTACTCCGCCATGTGATTTATGCGAGGATCGAATAGATTTTTCACGAAAATTTTTCACGCTGTCAGCTTTCAAAGTTGGAGGACCTTTCACAAGGGTGGTTACTTGTTTGTTTTCAAGATTTTTCGATTCTCGAAAGGGAAAGTTGCCCTTCTTCTTTCCAAAATAAAATAAAAATGGTGGTAAGTTAAATGGTTTAACTTTGTGCATTTCTATACCTTTTGCGTGGAATCGTGTTAGTGGAATTGGTTAAAACACATTCGTGAATTGGGCAAGTGCTAATTAGCCACTATAGATAACACGAATCGTATTAGTGTGAAACTACGTAAAATTAGTCTTGGAAGAGGTGTCCATTTTTATATTTACAAATTTCGTACGAGTCGGGAGAATAGAATCGAAGGTTGCATTCCATCTTCCGTGTCGCTGCGTGATATTTCATTGATTTGATAGAAATCAAGGAGAAGGATCGTCGCTCTTGAGGAGTTCAGGATCACGATTTAAATGGAATGGCCTTTCACAAAAGCCATCGAATCGTATCGTCCGTTTAATTCTTAAATGTAATTTCAGGATCGTCGTTCAAAATGATCTACGTCGATTTAAAAATATGAAAAGTCTATAGTTAAAATGAAACGTACGTCTTCCTTACTTGTGTTACTCGAAGGAATAATTTTTCGAATGAGCTGTGAATATTATTTTCAAATGATTATGGGTTACGAATCGTTATATAAATACAGCGAATAAATTTCAATGAATCGACACAATCGCTAATTACAGAATATCTTCCATGGATACTTTTTAGTCACGATGATTCCTCGCAATTTAACCATTAAATCATTACTCAGGTAGAAATAATCAAGGAGCTGTAAATTTGATCTCGGATGTAAGAATGGTCGAAGGATGGAGTTCAAATGATTTCGTCCCTCGAGGTATGGTAAGTGAAGGAAGTCATGCAGATTAAAAACGTTGGAGTGAAGAACGAAGAGGGGGAGGGGGTTGGGCGATTCGACGTATCTGGCAACAAATAAATAGCGATTTATTCACAAGTTAAGTGCACAAGGGGCGACGACAAGTGCTCGGGAGTTAGTGTCATCCCCAAAGTGTTACTGCTCGCCGTGTTGTTGAGTCTTTGGTGGAGGTGTGAATTTTAGGAGCAGATATTTTGCGCCATCTTCCGCTTCTCCGCGCCACGGGTTCAAGCATTTCCCATTTCTCCTCAGAAGGACGATTTACCTTGGTTGGGCGGCACGAATCCGTATCCGCTCGCGCCTACTATCACTCCGCTGGTGTCCTCGTTATTGGGCGGAGGGCCAGGAGGAAACAGTACCGGACCTGGAACGAAAATCGTCCTTGTCAGAAATATGAAAGAAATTTTAAAAAGAAAGAAATCGTGGAAGAGGAAGATGTCTCCGCGAGGGACGAAAATTTTAATGTCATCCTTCGATCATTCTTCGATCAAATTTACATCTTCTCGATTATTTCTACTTCAGAAGTAATTCACCTTTTGCGGTTCGTATTAAACGAGATCGATTACTTTAAGGCACGAAGCCTTAAGCGTCATTCGTCAATCTGACAGTTATGCCCCTTTTCTCGATTTCATTTCAATCAGAAACGACGTCTCGATTCCATTCTCCGTTCCCGTGCAACGTTTATGAAAAATCATAAACACGGTTTAAACGAGCTCGTTAAACTGAGGCCGTAGCTTGCGATTATTCAACATCGTGCCCCAGAAAGACCATGCTTCAATGAAATTACACTACCGTACGCTCCTGACATCCCCGATGATCTCTGTAATCGCTGTTACACGGCGATCTTATCAAAAGTACACGAGTCGTTTTGAAATTACGAAATTTTTCGCGTAATTTATAATCCACTCTTCACGGTCGTTGCTTGCGGTCCAAATCGAAAGATCGCCGATCTGATCTTTTAAAACGATCTTTTAATTTTTCTTATACGATGCAATGGAATCTCTAGCGTCCAAAGATTTAGATTATCCAAACATTCAATTATTCGAAGCTATTAGCTATTTTATTATTAAATCATTTTAGTGTTATTTTGAATTTGAATACTTTGAACAAGAAGCCGATAAAAATGAAAATGAAAATATATCTTCTCGATACTCTGAGAAACAAAAAGAATATAATTCGATGTGTATGTGTTCAACAAAGAAGTTATGAGATCCATAAATAATTAAATAATAATATTTCGTTTATATTTTATGCCTTAATTAACATAATAATGACGAAAAATGGAAGAAAATTGCTTGTTCTATCATTCGAAAATTCCTTTAAGAAGAATTCCATCGTATTGTCATTTCGTTCCTTCGATATATGTTTGGTCTAGTTTCGATCGATCGTTCGATCACGATCGTGAACACAAATATTCATAATCTTTCGCAATGTTTCGTGTATCTTCTATAACCTTTTCGGAACGAAGGAATTTAAATTATAATGCCGATTGTATAAGGCAGCCGCGTATAAACGAGAGAATCCACATAATCGATCCTCCCTGTGCAATTCTACGGAGTGTTAATTTTATAAGCACCTCGTTATAAACAAGTTTTCAAGGAGATCCAGTGTAATCTATCTGAATCGGGAAGTGATTTGCAATCCGAACGACTATTAATCGATGCCACTGTGGAAATAGCGGTTTCCATTAATGCGTGCGAGGTGCAAATCTCACGCAACAAACTCGATCCTTATCGCATCGCTGCAAACTGTTACGAAACTATGAACCTCGTGGCTTGAACACTTGAACACAATTGTTCCGGTTAATTAAGAAATGCGAACGACCTGATTGAAGTTATCATTAGACTTTCAATTTATTGCTAGATCATTATCAGCTTATCACGAGATCACTTCCCTTTTACGCTCCACGAATTAAGATTATTTAATATAGTTGAATTATTCTAAAAAAAATTTTCCTTCTTTTTTTATATCCAGAATGATCGCCGAAATATATTATTTATATATATATATTGATATTTTTACAAAATTTTATATACTATATCTAGAATCGAAGTTTCATTTATTTCTTCCATTATTCTTCTTTAACTTCAAATTTATATTATCGTTTTATCATTTAAGAAATTGATTTTTTTTTTTTATCTAGTCGATTCTTCTCGTTAATTTATTCAACGTGCAATTGTAAAAGAACATATTTATTAATTTTCAATATCGTTGGATTTTTCAAAAAAAAAAAAAAAAAGACGTATGGAAATCATGAAAAGAAACTTTAGAAGAATCTACGATGTTACTACGATTGGAGATGGAGAATGGCGGAGAGTTATGCGTAAAAAGGTATTTCACTCGAGGAAAAATTATTATCTAACACACGTTGACAAGAAATTGACCAGTCGGAGCACAAGTTGGCGGTATGTCAGCAACATTTTCCTGCCTCTATTTATTGTAGGTGAGTTTGAACTTGACACTCATTCCGTGCGTAAAACGCGCCGCCGCGTTCCACTCGATCGCAAGGATCGCGTATCCTGGTTACGGCGTGTGTCGAATTATACACGTGCAGACAAATGTCAAAGCTTCAACGTTAGAATGGGATACCTCATTAGGGCAACAAATAGCGCCTGTCGTCTCGTCCATTAATCTTCGATTTCGAACTCGAAGTGATGTGAAATTTCTAAAATTAATTGCACGAGTTTAAAATATTAACGCGTGTCGATTTAAAATTCCTTTGCGTTTATCTATTAATTTATTATCAAAAAAATTTTAATTTTCTTTCTTTTTTATTTAATACCGAATAAATTTGCATAATTTTACCGTTGATATATTAATAAAAATCGATGCGGAGTTTACACGATCGTTTCTCTTTTTTATTTTGAAAAATTACACAACTTTGCTAAAATAAATGCGAAATATCAATTGAACAAGTTTAAATTAAAATAATAAATACGCGATTTAAAATTCATTTTACATCTATCCATCGATTTATTATTAAATAAAATTTTATATTTTTTAATATAGATAATTATTAAAAGTAGAAATCGATCGAGCAATCGTTGCAAATCCATTCAGAATTCGTACGATCACTTTCCTTTTCCTCGACGCACGAATTACGTTAATCACGTACTATCGGTAGTTTAAACGTTCTCTATATACAGATATAAATATATATAACCGTTCGATATCTATGAAATTATCGTTATTAGTTCCCCCTTCCGGCATCGATCGTAATTTCTGGCTTCGAACGAGAATCCGAGAATAATCTCATTTGGTAGGAGCGTCACGGTTCGTCAACAACTCGAGCGGAAATGGAATTAACCGCCAATTATTCGCGAATCCATATCTCACTCTCGAAGATTATTTCCGACAGGGTTTTAGGGGTCGAGGACTGGGATCGTTGGGACGCAGTGTTGGTCGAATCCCAAGTTTATCGGGAATTGGTTCGAAGGATTTCAAGGATTTCGTGGGTTAAAAGGATTAGCATATTCACCTCTATTCGATCGTGGATCTCGCATTGCTACTGCTTGCCTGATATAAGGTCCGAATCCTGCGAACAGTTGACTGTAGTCCTGGGACGAGACCGCTGCCAGAACTGTGAAAACCAGTAGAATCAGAATTGTCTGAAATGGAAAGATTAATCTAATCTTTAGTGTAATACGTATGATTTTTTTTTATCTTATAGAAAATAATAATAATAATAATAATTATCTTTTCCTGATTTTTATTTATAAATTCGAAAAATCAATCGCAGCCTTCCTAGTAAGATCAAAATATCTTATTTAGAATTTCAAGATAGATTTCAAATTTTTCAAAGTAGGATTTCTTTTAACCGAGAGGGAATATTTCGTTATTTACGTTCAAATTTTTGCATCACAAATACGGTTGTCAAGATGAAATAAATTATCGATCCTGTCAATCGAGATATTATAATTTCCCTTCAAACGTCCGAATTACGCGTTCCCTTATTGAATCTATCAACGATTTATTAGATACTTTCACCGTTTCCCAATCTCCGTGCAAAAACTTTCAAAAAAAATGTATAAACATAAATGAAAAATAGCAATCCTCGAGCCTTTCAATTAAGTTTTAATCGAGCCTCCTGAGACAATCGTGACGATTCCACTTTTAACTTCTGCGAAACCGGAAACGGCCCCATTAAATTCCGTTATGTACAACGATAAATGGGAATCGAAAGCTTCGTTAGACGTTCGTTCTGAAAACACTTTTAACCTCGATCCAATGATTGACGACCGATTCGAGATTTTCTCCAACCCATGCGACAATTTTTACGAGCCTCTATCAGTTAACAATGCGATATAATTTATGGGCCGAATATACTCGTCGAATAAAATCACCACTCTCTGCTTTCGTATCCGTTTCAGAAGTCGTTCAGATCTCTCCTCAAACGTTCCCGTTTCTTGCCTCGATTTCCTTAAACATTCGCCATTATTAAGCAAGAATCTGTGAAGCCCAAGTGTTACTCGATAAATTAACCACGATGAATTATGGAGAACGTTAAAATCGCAACACGGAGTCACTTTACCACGCGCCGTCAGAGTCGTCCCATTCGACTCTGATAAATTGCAGCCGTTCGATTTTTAATCGATCCCGCTGTTTGTTCGTTCGAGGATATTTTCTCTGTTTCTCTTGCGTCGTTCGTATTTATGGAATTTCGAATGGGAAAGGATTCCAGAAATAGATTGCATTCAAGATTTGTGTCGAAAAATCATCGTCGTCGATTTCACGGATTTCAAAGGTGAGAATTTATTTAAAATTTAACGATTAATAACTAAAAAAGGTTCTCATGCTCATCGTCGAGGAGCTCAACAGACATCTTTCTTACACGAATTTAAAGATAATTTCACGTTGAAAGAACGAACGATCCGTACGTTTGTCACCAACAATTTACATTCTAAAAATCTAAAGATAAAGAACGAATTGTAAGGATTTATTAAACGTCATAAATGTCAAAATTTCTTAGGAAATAAAGAATTCGATTGCGTCTCGAATCGAAAACGTGGACAAAGTAACATTTCCCGTTACTTTTTCACTCCTTTTACTTTTTCGGTAGAAAAGCAACTCGTTAATTGCTCGCTTGTGCCGAAGTTTCGACAGAACATTGCGACAGATCCCCCGATCTGTTTCCGCAAAAAGCGATAAATATTCCCAGGTCGTTATCAGCTCACGAGACATCGCGTGCTCGAAGGAAAACGTTTAAAAAGGGAACAGAGTGCAGTGTCGTAAACGTGTCGTAAACTCCAACGAACGAAAAATCCGATTTCGTATCTCGAGTTCGACGCGGGGAAACGATTCGAGGCGAGCGAAGAAAAGCCGGCGATTTATATCTTCTGACAACCGATCATCTCTTTTCGCCCGTTCCGATTCTTACGTAAAATCTGACGAAATCGTTGCACGCTATACACGGTCACCTCATCCGAGCCACGAACGCGTTTGATTGGATAATCGCGTTTGAATAATCGCGCGAAACGACGATTGAACGAGCGGTTACATTGTTGCACACATATCGGTTTTCTGTATCGAAAGCAAGGTGAGCAACGCGCGACACGTCATCGCTTCGCGATTTCTTTCTTCGCGCTTGTCGCAATGTCAAGGCGATTAATTGCTGCCCTATTACATACGACTGATAATTGCGTAGATATATAGCTAGATATAGTATAGCGAAGGAGTGAACAATTTTATGCGATATATATCAAGAATTCAACGATGAACCAACGATTGACTTATTAAGGTAATTGTTTACTTTATTGTTCATTCGAGATTCCAGATGGATAAATAAAGTATTTCCGTATCCATCTTTGAAATTCATAAACTATCGACTCGTTATTATAAAGTTCCGTTGAATATACATTGAGAGAAAGAAGTCGATTCCAGATCGATATCTGATATCTTTAAAATTCATAAGCTATTTAAAACGTTGACTAGATCCACGTGTCTGGATCTAGAACGTTACGTTGATTTTCCAACGAGATATACGGGTCTCTATGACGATATCCCATTACGCCACACCGTGGTTTACTTGTCACAATTTTGAACGGGATTGATCGAAGCGGAGAGAGGGAAAGACAGATTAATGATAGAGTATCGCAGGCACCAGAGATCGACCCTTGATCGACATTGGTTCTAATTAGAGATCTACTGCCTGGACGAATAAATTCGCGTAATTACCGTAACGAAACTGACTATCGAGAAATATTTATCGTTTCTCGCGACCCTACACCTACTTTCCTTGCAAAAAAATGCAAATATATATATATCTATCCGCGATGAGAATTCGTGACAAGAAGGATTTAAGTACGAATCATGTCGGTGTAATTGCGTGTAATAAACAATTCTCGATCGTAATAATTAAAATAGCTTCATCGTGGAACGGGGCACGCAACAACTCGATATAATTTATTATAATATAATTTACACGAGAGATTAACTTTTTTAACATGGAACGTTGAACTTTTGAATTTTTCAACCGGAGAAGCGTAACAATCTCGGAGGAAATCATTTCCAGTTTCCTTGAAACTGAACTAGACTCGAAACCGGAAAAGCAAGGTCGAGGTGGCGAATATCAACATCGATTATCAACGCAGGCCAAGTAACTCGAGTTGAGACGATTTTTGCGCATACAGTTAGACCGAACATCGAAATAAATGTTCGACCAAATTTGTCCTCGAAAGGTGGTTTGACAAGCGGCATCGAAAAAAGAGAAAAACGAGATTCGTAACAATTCTGTCTGAGGAGAACGACGCGCTCGTTGCAGACGCACGAGGTCGCCCACAAACCACGGCACACATGTGCGTGCACCGTGACGATAGATATCAACGCCGCGGTGATATCTGAACCAACGCGCGTCGATGATCACGAGGAGAACCGCGCACAAACACGCGGCTAATAAATGCCTGGTTGCGAAATAATCGTGAGCATATTGCATATTTGTCGGGGTGAAGCGGCGCACGAAATGTGGAAGGAAAGTAGAAACCGGAGAACGCGCGGTTCTCCGCGTCACGTGGATTAATAATCAACACCTAATAAATCGAGCCGAGCAGCGAATATCTCAAACACTGTTATGTAATTAACCATTCGCTCACAATGAGATTTTTGCGTAAGCAGCCCAATAATATAATTTCTGTGATTCGTGCGTTTCCGTTTAAACGGATAAACTTACATAAGTCGTAATTTTAAAATTGTAAAATAGGAAAATACGATGAATTGAATATGAATATTACGAGCAACGGTTTTCGATATTTATCTTGAAATTTATTACGATTTTGTGTTGAACGATTTAAAAAAACAAATCATTCATTTTTTTTATTCAGAATTAATTGCACGTCCGACCAATGAAATTGGAAAATTTATTTATTCGAGAGTTTTTTTTTTTTTTTCAACGAGACGAGAATTTATGTTGAGCCTGTTTTCCACGCCTGAATGCGATAAATATTATTCATAAATTAGAAGAATGGCGATTTAGTGTATTTTAAGGCTGTCTTTTTTTTTTTTTTTTTTTTTTTTTTTTTAGAAAAAGCATATAATTAATCATTCACGCGTGAAATTATATCCGTGCAGCTAACCTAATACAGTGTCCTGATTCGAATATCACGCGGCTCGAAAGGTTTCCAAGCAAACTGGAGCTCGAGAATTCGAACCTTGAGCGAGAAAGGCTAATTCCTCTCCGAGTTTCAATGAAGTACCTTGGAAAGTAGCAAGTTGCACTCGTGAAGCCTGTAATTTCTTCGAGAAAGGAAAGCGTAGAGTAATACTATGGAGGTCAAGTACCTAGAAAGACGAAATTATTATTATTAAAAAAAAAATCTATGGAAATTATATTAATTATAGAAATGAAGTAATCGCGATTATTCATCTCTCTGTCCACGAATCACGTTGATTAAGATTGAAGATTGAAGATTAATGTTTCTATTTCCGTATAAACTTCCCCTCATTCACTAATTTTGATTTACAGAATGATTCCATTCTCCGGCAATGTTACAATGTATATACAAAGATTACTATCTATAGACATTCGCGGTAAGTAAAATTCTCGAGAGTTGTCCTTCAGAGTACTTTTCATTAATTACGATAAAAGTGGAAGTTACTTTTACTCTTCACTTTCAACACTTGTCCACTCGCTGAAGAAACGTTAAACTTGTTAATACAGGTCGAATTTTATATATTTAATTTTCCACCTTCGACGCTGCTTATAGAATAAACGTACGATCTTTGTAAGCGACGTATACACGATCGACAGAGTAAAATTACAAATTGCTAATGTCGAAGGTGAACTAATAAAGGATAATACACGATTATACACGGTATACGTACGTTTCTACGCATAGCTGCTTCCCTCTAATCCCTGCGAGCAACAGATTTATCAAATCACGGATATTTCCAGGAAGAATTTCAGCCTCCTTTCCACCGAATGATCAATAAAATAGCAGGTCGGCCCGTTTCATTATTTTTTCCCTCTAATCTGCTCGAAACCGCCCGCGGACTGCAAAGTTTCGCCCGTTCTCCACCATACTTTTCTTACGACACTCGTTCGTTCGGCGCGAGTCATCGGGAACAAAGTTAAAAGTAGCAAGCGCAATCTATGTTCCTGTGTTTGATCGATAAC